TACCTTTTATCCGTTGAGCGATGGCCCTTCCATGCGGAACCACCGGATCACTAAGGCCTGGTTTCCCACCTGCTCGACTTGTAGGTCTCGCAGTCAAGCTCGCTTATGCCTTTGCACTCTCCGGCTGATTTCCAAACAGCCTGAGCGAACCTTCGCGCGCCTCCGTTACATTTTGGGAGGCGACCGCCCCAGTCAAACTACCCGCCTAGCAATGTCCCTGCTCTGGATAACAGAACGAGGTTAGGGCGCCAGAGTGCTAAGGGTGGTATCTCACCGTTGACTCCCCGGACCCCAAAAAGCCCGGTTCAAAGTCTCCCACCTATCCTGCGCATAACACGCCAGCACTCACTACTAAGTTGTAGTAAAGGTGCACGGGGTCTTTCCGTCTTGCCACGGGCAACCGGCGTCTTCACCGGTACCCAAATTCGCAGTGCCCCTCGTAGAGACAGCGCCCAGATCGTTGCGCCATTCGTGCAGGTCGGAACTTACCCGACAAGGAATTTCGCTACCTTAGGACCGTTATAGTTACGGCCGCCGTTTACCGGGGCTTCAGTTCAGAGCTTCGCCTTGCGGCTAACCCCTCCCTTTAACCTTCCGGCACCGGGCAGGCGTCAGACCCTATACGTCGTTTTCGACTTGGCAGAGTCCTGTGTTTTTAGTAAACAGTCGCCTGGGCCTCTTAACTGCAACTCCTTCGCGCTCAACGGGCACGCCGCATCACGCTAATGGAGCACCCCTTCTTCCGAAGTTACGGGGCGAGTTTGCCGAGTTCCTTTACGAGGGTTCACACTCGCGCCTGAGGATTTTCTCCTCGCCTACCTGTGTCGGTTTGCGGTACGGGTACCCGGAAGACTCCTTAGAGGCTTTTCTCGGCAGCGTGGCGTCACCCACTTTGCGGCCTTGCGGCCTCGCCATGGCACCTCAGGGCGTCACGATCCACCGGATTTTCCTGGCGGATCCCCCTACATGCCTGAACCTACACTTCCAGTCGTAGGCTGGGCTAGCCTCCTGCGTCCCCCCATCGTAATAACGTCTTCCAGGTAGTTCAGGAATGTTGACCTGATGTCCATCCGCTACGCCTTTCGGCCTCACGTTAGGACCCGACTAACCCTGAGCGGACGAACCTTCCTCAGGAAACCTTAGGCTTTCGGCGGAGAGGATTCTCACCTCTCTTATCGCTACTTATGCCGGCAGGGTCACTTCTCTGCGCTCCACCAGTTCTTTCGATCTGGCTTCTCTGCCCAGAGAACGCTCCTCTACCAGAGCCATGCCCCGCAGGGCATGACAATCTACGGCTTCGGTACTGTGCTTGAGCCCCGTTACATTGTCGGCCCAGAGCCGCTTGACCAGTGAGCTATTACGCTTTCTTTCAAGGATGGCTGCTTCTAAGCCAACCTCCTGGTTGTCTCTGCGTTTCCAGATCCTTTCCCACTTAGCACAGATTTGGGGACCTTAGCCGGTAGTCTGGGCTGTTTCCCTCTCGACAATGAAGCTTAGCCCCCACTGTCTGACTCCCGGGATATGAGTCGCTGGCATTCGAAGTTTGGTTGGATTCAGTAAGCTTGTAGGCCCCCTAGTCCATCCAGTGCTCTACCACCAGCGCCAACCTCCCGAGGCTAGCCCTAAAGCTATTTCGAGGAGAACGGGCCATCACGAGGTTTGATTAGCCTTTCACCCCTACCCTCAGCTCATCCAAACCGTTTTCAACCGATACTGGTTCGGGCCTCCACGCGGTGTTACCCGCGCTTCACCCTGGCCAAGGGTAGATCACCTCGTTTCGCGTCTACTCCCAGCGACTGAACGCCCTGTTCAGACTCGCTTTCGCTGCGGCTCGCTTAAATGCTTAACCTCGCCACTGAGAGTAACTAGCCGGCTCATTATGCAAAAGGCACGCGGTCAGGCATTCCGGCGCCGAAGCGCCAGCATAGCCCTCCCACTGCTTGTAGGCATACGGTTTCAGGTACTATTTCACTCCCCTAGCAGGGGTTCTTTTCACCTTTCCCTCACGGTACTGGTTCACTATCGGTCGCCAGGGAGTATTTAGCCTTACGAGATGGTCCTCGTAGATTCTCACGGGATTTCCCGTGTCCCGCGATACTCAGGAACCTACCCAGCGAGCCAGCACGTTTTCGTCTACCGGGCTCTCACCGTCCATGGCCGGTCGTTCCAGACCGTTCGACTAACGCGCTGGTTTTTGACTCGCCGACCCTAAGGTCTGGCAGGCCCTACAACCCCGCCGTGCATGCACGACGGTTTGGGCTGTTCCGCGTTCGCTCGCCGCTACTGACGGAATCACTGTTGTTTTCTGTTCCTGCAGGTACTGAGATGGTTCACTTCCCTGCGTTGTCTTCCTTGGCCTATGTATTCAGCCAAGGATACCTCGGTATTAACCAAGGTGGGTTTCCCCATTCGGAAATCTCCGGGTCAACGCCTGTTTGCGGCTCACCGAAGCTTATCGCAGCTTGCCACGTCCTTCATCGACTCCTGGCGCCAAGGCATCCACCGTACGCCCTTAGTAGCTTGACCTCAAAAACCCTCGGAACCGATGCCGCTCGATCCCTTCGGCCGGGAAACGTCCCCAACCGAAAGAACCCGACGCCACCGGAACACTTAAACACACACTACGGGTTGTGGTCGGAAAAAACTACCGTTTGCAGGATATTCAGTTGTCAAAGAGCTACCGGAGCATCGGGTGCCGCCTCAAAGGACGCAATCCCTGGCAATCCGGCAAAAAACCCTGGGCCGTATCCGGCCTTGAACCGCTCAGCCGGCCCGTCCGGCACCGAGAGCGGTTCTGGTGGAGAATACCGGGCTCGAACCGGTGACCTCCTGGTTGCAAACCAAGCGCTCTCCCAGCTGAGCTAATTCCCCAAAAACCATCACGGTGCTCAGCCTGAGCCTGGTGGGCCTGGGTAGATTCGAACTACCGACCCCACGCTTATCAAGCGTGTGCTCTAACCAGCTGAGCTACAGGCCCTCCCTCGAAAGAGCCGCATGCTCGCTCGCGCCAACCAGTTCGGCGCCACATCGACATGCCGATTCTCTCAAAACTGAACAGGACGACACACACTCCACAACACCGAACCTGACGATTCGGCGCCGCGACGCCGGCCCCCGATACTCGCAGAGCCGGACATGAACGAGAATCAGATCGATCTGAGGATGCCAGCGCGACTTTACGCCGCCTGGATTCTCTAGAAAGGAGGTGATCCAGCCGCAGGTTCTCCTACAGCTACCTTGTTACGACTTCACCCCAATCACTAACCATACCTTAGGCGCTTGCGTCCCTTGCGGGTTAGCTCGGCGACTTCTAGTACAGCCAGCTTTCGTGATGTGACGGGCGGTGTGTACAAGGCCCGGGAACGTATTCACCGCGGCATGCTGATCCGCGATTACTAGCGATTCCAGCTTCATGCAGGCGGGTTGCAGCCTACAATCCGAACTGAGACCGGCTTTGTGCGATTAGCTCCCCCTCGCGGGTTCGCGACGCTCTGTACCGACCATTGTAGCACGTGTGTAGCCCCGGACATAAAGGCCATGCTGACTTGACGTCATCCCCACCTTCCTCCGGTTTGTCACCGGCAGTCTTCGCAGAGTGCCCAGCCGAACTGATGGCAACAGCGAACAAGGGTTGCGCTCGTTGCGGGACTTAACCCAACATCTCACGACACGAGCTGACGACAGCCATGCAGCACCTCTACGAGTGTCCTTGCGGAAGTCGGCTTTCACCGATTGTCACTCGCACTTCAAGCCCGGGTAAGGTTCTTCGCGTTGCGTCGAATTAAACCACATGCTCCACCGCTTGTGCGGGCCCCCGTCAATTCCTTTGAGTTTCAGCCTTGCGACCGTACTCCCCAGGCGGAATGCTTAATGCGTTAGCTCCGGCACGGCAGGGATCGATACCCGCCACACCAAGCATTCATCGTTTAGGGCCAGGACTACCGGGGTATCTAATCCCGTTTGCTCCCCTGGCTTTCGCTCCTCAGCGTCAAGACCGGTCCAGGATGCCGCCTTCGCCACCGGTGTTCCTCCAGATATCTACGCATTTCACCGCTACACCTGGAATTCCGCATCCCTCTCCCGGCTTCAAGCCAACCAGTATCGGACGCAGTTCCCCGGTTGAGCCGGGGGATTTCACGTCCGACTTGGCTAGCCGCCTACGAGCCCTTTACGCCCAGTAATTCCGAACAACGCTTGCCCCCCCCGTATTACCGCGGCTGCTGGCACGGAGTTAGCCGGGGCTTCCTTCAGCGGTACCGTCAGGCGCACGGGGTATTAACCCGCATGCTGTTCTTCCCGCTCGACAGGAGTTTACAACCCGAAGATCTTCGTCCTCCACGCGGCGTTGCGTCGTCAGGCTTGCGCCCATTGCGAACAATTCCCCTACTGCTGCCTCCCGTAGAAGTCTGGGCCGTGTCTCAGTCCCAGTGTGGCCGTCCGCCCTCTCAGGCCGGCTACCGATCGTCGCCTTGGTAGGCCGCTACCCCACCAACAAGCTAATCGGACGCGGGTCCCTCTTCAAGCGCCAGGTCTTGCGATCCCCGACTTTGATCACCGCTCATCCAAGAGCGGGATGTTATGCGGTATTAGCCCCCCTTTCGGAGGGTTATCCCCCACTCGAAGGCAGGTCACCCACGCGATACTCACCCGTTTGCCACTCTACTCGCGACCCGAAGGTCACTTTCGCGTACGACTTGCATGTATAAGGCACGCCGCCAGCGTTGATTCTGAGCCAGGATCAAACTCTCAAGTTAAAGGCGTAGCCTCGGGCCGCCCTCTCGGGCCACCGTCGGACAACTTCAACACGAGAGCCGTTTTAATGGCTCTACGTTGTTCAGTTCTGAGTGTCAGGCTGATACTCGACGAGTGTGCTTCTCGTCGTCCTATTCAGTTTTCAAAGAACCGGCACCGGGTCCGACCCGGCCGCCCCCCCAGTCGGTCTGTCCGCTGGTGAAGCCCTGCAAGCTTAGCACAACCCTGCGGTCTGTCAACAACTTTTTTCACGTCGACGCGTTTTCTTGCCCCGCGGGTCGCGGAATCACCCTGACGACCTTGCGCTTGCCCACCTGCAGCACGAACGGGCCGGCGTCCGTCGGAAACCGCGCCCCCCGGTCGACGGTCCGTTCTCCGTCGACCCGCACGCTCCCCTGGTCGATCAGCCGGGTCGCGGCGCTGTTCGACGCGGCGAAGCCGACCTCGACCATCACCGCCGACAGCCGGGCGCCCGCCGGGGGCACGCCACCGCCTGCTCCTCCAGCTCGGACGGGAGCGCCCCGCCGCTGAACCGCCGCTCGAACTCGCGCTCGGCCGCACCGCGGCGTCATCCGAGTGGAAATCGGCGACGACGCGGCGCGCCAGGTCCTGCTTGGCCCGCTTGGGGTGCAGGTCGCCGGCCGCCACCCGCGCGCGCAGCCGCTCGATCTCGGCCACGGCAGGTCGGTCAGCAGCTCGTACCAGCTCCACATCAGGGTGTCGGAGATCGACATCAGCTTCCCGAACATCTCGTCCGGAGGCTCGGTGATGCCCACGTAGTTGCCCGCCGACTTCGACATCTTCTCCACGCCGTCGAGGCCCACGAGCAGCGGCACCGTCATCACCACCTGCGGCGGGAGCCCGAACGAGGGCATGACGTCCCGACCCACGTTGAGGTTGAACAGCTGGTCGGTGCCCCCTAGCTCGACGTCCGCCGCCAGATGCACCGAATCGTAGGCCTGCGTGAGTGGATACAGGAACTCGTGGATCGCGATCGGCTGCCCGCGGTCGTACCGCTGCCGGAAGTGCGGCGCTCGAGCATCTGTGCGACGTTGTAGCTGGCGGCGAGCCCTTATCCAGTCCTCGCTGCGCAGCGCCCCGAGCCAGCGGCTGTTGAACTCGACGACCGTCCGGTCCGGGTCGAGCAGCTTGAACACCTGGGCCCGGTAGGTGTCGGCGTTCTGCTCGATCTCGTCCCTCGTCAGGGGCGGGCGGGTCTTCGACCGGCCGGTCGGGTCGCCGATCAGTCCGGTGAAGTCACCGATGAGGAAGACGACCGTGTGGCCCAGATCCTGGAAGTGCTTCATCTTCCGGATCAGCACCGTGTGCCCCAGATGCAGGTCCGGCGCCGTGGGGTCGAAGCCGACCTTGACCACCAGGGACCGCTCCTTCCCGGCCGCCTGCTCCAGCTTCGATCGGAGCTCGGACTCGCGCACGACGTCGACCGCCCCCTTCGTCAGGTAGGCCATCTGCTCGGCGAGGGTCCCCGGCATGGAAGACATCCGACCAGTCTACCCGAAGTACAGGGATCAGCCAGCGGCGCGCGAACCGCCGACGCGCACGAACCGGCGGCCCTCGATGCGCCACCCGCCGTCGAGCACGACGCCGATGGCCTCCGGGATAGATGCGATGCTCCTCGATCAGGATTCGAGCCGACAACGAGTCGGGGGTGTCCTCGTCGCGAACCGACACGGCTGCCTGCTCGACGATCGGGCCCGCATCGAGCTCGGGGGTGACGATATGCACCGTGGCGCCGGCGACCCTGACGCCATGGCGCCACGCCTGCTCCTGGCCGTGCAGACCGGGGAACGCGGGCAGCAGCGACGGATGGACGTTCAGGATGCGGTTGGGGAAGGCGGACACGAACGCTGCGCTCAGGAGCCGCATGAACCCGGCCAGACAGACCAGGGCGACGTCGTACCGGCGCAGCACGGCCGCGAGCTCGCGGCCATAGGCTTCCCGCGAGGCGTACGCGGTGTGGTCCAGAACCGCCGTCTCGATGCCGGCGCGGCGGGCGCGCTCGAGCCCCGGGGCGTCCGGCCGGTTGGAGACGACCACCGCGACCTCGGCGACGAGCCGCCCCGCGGCAATCGCATCGATGATCGCCTGCAGATTGCTGCCCCGCCCCGAGATCAACACGCCGAGTCGGCGGCTTCCGGCGCCGCCGCCCGAGTCGGCGCCCCTGCCGGTCATGCGTACCGCACCGTGCCGTCGCCGGTCGTGACCCGACCGATGACCGCCGCCCCCGGTTCCCCGTGCCGGCGGCACTCTGCGAGCAGCGTGTCGCGCCGATCGGGCGCACAGACGATGACGAGGCCGATACCCATGTTGAACGTCCGGAACGCCTCGGCGTCGGTCAGCTCGCCGTGCCGCTGCAGGAAGGTGAACACCGGCGGCGGGGTCCAGGCCTTTGTATCGATCTCCACCGCGACGCCCGGGGGGGAGCACGCGGGGAAGATTGTCGGTCAGTCCGCCCCCGGTGATGTGGGCCATCGCCTTGACGACCCCGGCCCCCTCGGCCAGCAGCGGCGACACCGGCCGCAGGTACGAACGGTGCGGCCGCAACAGCACGTCGCCGACCCGTCCGTCGAGTCCCTCCGGGGCCGAGTCCACCGCGAGGCCCAGGGTGTCGAACACGATGCGGCGGGCCAGCGAGTATCCGTTGGTGTGCAGGCCGGTGGACGGCAAGCCGATCACCGGGTCTCCGAGCCGGATCCCGCGGCCGTCGATCAGGCGACCCCGGTCGGCGAGGCCGACGACGAAGCCGGCCAGGTCGTACTCGCCGTCGGCGTAGAACCCCGGCATCTCCGCGGTCTCACCCCCCAGGAGGGCGCACCGGTTCTCGGCGCAAGCGGCCGCGATCCCACGGACCACCGCCTCGGTGACGTCCGGCGAGAGCCGGCCGGTCGCGAGATAGTCCAGAAAGAACAAGGGCGTTGCGCCCTGCACGAGTATGTCGTTCACGCAGTGATTGACGAGGTCGCATCCGACGGTGTCGTGCCGGCCGGCGAGGAACGCGACCTTCAGCTTCGTGCCGACCCCATCGGCGCTCGACACCAGGACGGGCTCGGTCAGACCCGTCAGGTCCGGCCGGAACAGGCCGCCGAAGCTACCGATGTCCGAGAGCACCCCGGGGGTGAACGTCCCCCGCGCGAGAGCCCGGATCCGGCGCACGGCTTCCGCGCCGGCGTCGATATCGACACCCGCGGACCGGTAGTCGAGCCCAGCCCCGGTCGTCATGACACGTCCGGCAGCTTCAACGCCATCTGCATGTACGCTTCAGCGTCTTTTCGGACCCTCGACCGGGTAGATGCCGGTGTAGCACGACGTGCAATAGTCGCCGCTCCGCTCCCCGACCGCCTCGCGCAACCCCTCCAGGCTGAGGTAGGCGAGCGTATCCGACTTGACGTAGCGGCAGATGTCGTCGACCGCGTAGTTGGCCGCGATCAGCTCGGACTTCCGCGGGGTATCGATACCGTAGTAGCAGGGAGAGACGGTCGGAGGACAACTGATTCGCATGTGTATCTCGCGGGCGCCGGCGGCGCGAATCATCCCGACGATCTTGCGGCTGGTCGTCCCCGTACGATCGAATCGTCGACGAGGACGACCCGCTTGCCGTCCAGGACGCTCCGGACCGAATTCAGCTTCACGCGCACGCGGAACCCGCGAATCTCCTGCTGCGGCGCAATGAACGTGCGGCCGACATAGTGATTCCGGATGAGCCCCATCCGCATCGGCAGTCCCGCCGCCTCGGCATAACCGATGGCCGCACAGATCCCGGAGTCGGGTATCGGCACCACGACATCGGCGTCCACCGGCATCTCGCGCGCGAGCAACCGCCCGAAGTTGGTCCGCACCTCGTGGACGCTCCGGCCGAACACCACGCTGTCCGGCCGCGCGAAGTATACGTGCTCGAAAACGCACTGCGACGGTTGGGCGGGCGGAAACGGCCGGAAGGAGTGCTGGCCGTCACGACCGATGACCAGCAGCTCGCCCGGCGCGATGTCCCGCACGTATTGCGCGCCGATCAGATCGAGGGCGCAGGTCTCCGAGCAGACCACGGCAGCGTCGCCGAGGGCGCCCAGCACCAGGGGGCGGAACCCGTAGGGATCGCGCACCGCCATCAGGTGGTCGCGGGTCAGGAGCGCCAGCGAGAACGCGCCCCGCACCTGCCGGATCGACTCGGCGATGGCCTCGGGGGCGGTATCGGCGGCCGACCGGGCATAGAGATGCAGCACGACCTCGGTGTCGCTGCTGGTCTGGAAGATGCTTCCCTGCCGGACCAGATCGTCGCGCAGCTCGGCTGCGTTGATGAGGTTGCCGTTGTGGCAGAGGGCAATCTCGCCGTGCACGCAGTCGATGAGGATCGGTTGCGCGTTGACGATCCGGCTGTCGCCCGCGGTCGAGTACCGCACGTGACCGATGGCGTGGTCACCGGCCAGCGCGCCCAGCGAGGCCTCGTCGATCGCCTCCGACACATGCCCCATGGCCCGCGTCGAGTGCAGGCGCTCGCCGTCGCTGGTGGTGATGCCGGCGCTCTCCTGGCCCCGGTGCTGCAGCGCATACAGCCCGAGACGGGTCAGGGCCGGCGCCTCCGGGTGTCCAAAAATGCCAAAGACGCCGCATTCGTCGTGGAACTTGTCGTCGTCCATGGCTACACTGCTGCCGGTTCGAAATGACGGGCCATCCCGGTGGCCCAGGCGTGCTCGGCGGCCTCGATCGCCACCTCGGCGACCACGCCCCCGGACACCGAGACGGTCACCCGATCGCCCCCGGTCCGGCCGATCACCGCCGCCGGTACGCCGAGCTCGCGTGCGCGGGCGAGCAGTTCGGCCTGTCCGGCCCGCGTCACCGAGACGATGATCCGGGACGGCGATTCTCCGAACAGGGTCCGCACGACATCGAATCGATCGTTCGAGCCGGCCGGAACCGGCAGGTCGACACGTGCGCCGACCCCGCCGCTCTCGATGCTGCATTCGGCCAGGGCCACCGCGAGTCCACCCTCCGCACAGTCGTGGGCCGAACATAACATCCCGCGGAGGGACGCATCCACCACAAGACGCTGCAGCGCCGCCTCGCGGTCGAAATCGACGGGAGCGGGGCGTCCCCGCACCAGCCCGTGCACCCGCTTCAGGTACTCGCTGCCGCCGAGCCCTCCCGCCGGATCTCCGAGCAGGACGACGTCGAGCCCCGCGGCCGGGAAGATGCGGGTCAGCACCCGCGCGGCGTCCTCGAGGAGGCCCACCACCCCCAGCACCGGCGTGGGATAGATCGCCTGACCGTCCGTCTCGTTGTACAGGCTGACGTTGCCGCCGGTGATCGGGATGCCGAGGGCGCGGCACCCCTCGGCGATGCCGTCCACCGCCTGGGCGAACTGCCACATGATGTCGGGGCGTTCCGGGTTGCCGAAGTTCAGGCAGTTGGTCGCCCCGATCGGCGCCGCCCCGGCGCAGGCCACGTTGCGCGCCGCCTCCGCCACCGCGAGCCGGCCGCCCTCCCGCGGGTCCAGCCAGGCGTAGCGGCCGTTGCCGTCCACCGACACGGGCGAGGGCGCGGCCGGTCCCCTTGATGCGCACGACCGCGGCGCCGAGGCCCGGCAGCGCCACGGTATTGGTGCGCACCATGTGGTCGTACTGCCGATAGACCCAGCGCTTGCTCGCAATCGCCGGCGCCGCCAGCAGATCCAGCCAGGTCCGGGCCAGGTCGGCGGGAACCGGCAACGCGGGCTCGTCGAGCCGCTGCGCCTGGTCGAGATAGGCGGGGTACCGGGTCGGACGGTCGTACACCGGCGCACCGTCGGCCAGCTCCCGCGTCGGAATCTCGGCCACCACCCGACCGCGGTCGCGCACGCGCAGCAGGCCGTCGCCGGTGACCTCGCCGATGCGCACGGCGTGCAGGTCCCACTTGTCGAAGACCTGCTCCACCTCCGGTTCGCGTCCCTGCCGGACCACGAGCAGCATCCGCTCCTGCGACTCCGACAGCATGATCTCGTAGGGCGTCATGCCGGTCTCGCGCTGCGGCACCCGCGAGACGTCGATATCGATGCCGGTCCCGCCCCGGGCCGCCATCTCGCAGGTCGAGGAGGTGAGCCCCGCCGCGCCCATGTCCTGAATGCCCACCAGCGCGTCGGTCCGTATGACTTCGAGACAGGCTTCGAGCAGCAGCTTCTCCATGAACGGATCGCCCACCTGCACCGCGGGCCGGTTGTCGGCGGACCGGTCGTCGAACTCGGCCGAGGCCATCGTGGCGCCGTGGATGCCGTCGCGCCCGGTCCTCGCCCCCACGTAGTAGACGGGGTTGCCGGCACCCGAGGCCACCCCCTTGGCGAGCCGGTCGGTCTTCGCCACCCCCAGACAGAACACGTTGACCAACGGGTTGCCGGCGTATCCCGGTTCGAACGCGACCTCCCCGCCCACCGTCGGAATGCCGATGCTGTTGCCGTACCCGGCGATGCCCGCAACCACGCCGTCGACGAGGCGGACGGTATCCGCGGCGGGCCGGCCGTGCTCGTCCTCCAGCGCGCCGAACCGCAACGAGTCGAGCAGGGCGATGGGCCGCGCCCCCATCGTGAAGATGTCGCGAATGATGCCGCCGACGCCGGTCGCGGCGCCCTGATAGGGCTCGATGAACGAGGGATGGTTGTGCGACTCGATCTTGAACACCGCGGCCAGGCCGTCGCCGATGTCGACCGCGCCCGCGTTCTCGCCCGGCCCCTGCAGAACCCGCGGACCGTCCGTCGGGAAGCGGCGCAAGTGCCGGCGCGAGCTCTTGTAGCTGCAGTGCTCGGACCACATCACCGAGAAGATTCCCAGCTCGGTGATCGCCGGCTCGCGGCCGAGAATCTCGACCAGCCGCCGATACTCATCCGCGGTCAGCCCGTGCGCGTCGATCGTGGCCTGGTCGATCACGCGGCACCTGTCGCGGCCATCGCCGTCACCACCGATTCGAGCACCACCCGGCCGTCCTCGCTCCCGAGCGCCGACTCGCAGGCGCGCTCGGGATGCGGCATGATCCCGACGACGTTGCGGCGCCGGTTGCACACGCCGGCGATCTCGTTCAGCGACCCGTTGGGATTGCCGGCGTCGGTCACCGTTCCCGCCGCGCAGCAGTAGCGGAAGACGACCTGCCGGTTCGCTTCGAGCGCGGCGACCGTATCCGGCGCCGCGTGATAGTTGCCCTCACCGTGCGCGATCGGCAGCTTCAGCACCTGCCCGACCGACGCCCCGCAACTGAACGGGGTGTCGGTCTGCTCGACCCGGACGTGGACGTGCCGGCACAGGAACTTCAACCCCCGGTTCCGCAGCAGGGCGCCTTCGAGAAACCCGGCCTCGAGCAGCACCTGAAAGCCGTTGCAGATGCCGATGACCGGCCCGCCGGCCTCGGCGAACTCGCGAACGCGCTGCATCACCGGCGAGAACCGGGCGATCGCCCCGGTGCGCAGATAGTCCCCGTAGGAGAACCCGCCCGGCAGCACGACCACGTCGGCCCCCCGCAGGCGGGTCTCCTTGTGCCAGACGAACTCCGCCTGCTGCCCCAGTACGTGCCTGGTAGCGTGATACGCGTCGTGGTCGCAATTCGACCCGGGAAACTGGATGATGGCGAACTTCATGGGCGCATTCCCGCACCGCCCCGGCGCCTTGGCGCCGGCGGGAACCGTACGGCGCGTCCCGCCTCACGACGGCTCCGTGCCATGGTCGTCGACCTCCACGCGGTAGCTCTCGATCACCGGGTTGGCCAGCAGCCGGTCGGCGATTTCGCTCACGAGGGGACGCGCCGCCGCCGGCGTCTCCGCGTCGACGTCCAGCTCGAAGTACTTCCCCTGCCGCACGTCCCGCACCGACCCGTACCCCATCGACCCCAGCGCCGCAACGATGGTCCGGCCCTGCGGATCGAACACCGAGGGCTTCAGGGTGACGAACACTCTCGCTTTCACGCCGTCGGCCCCCCCGGCAGCCCGTGGCAGAAGGCCCCGCTGCATTCGACCGGCAATGCATCCTGCCTCACTGCGTTGCTCCTCGGTCCCATATGTCCACTACCTCGTCACGCCTTGGCAGGCCCGTCGCCGGTCTCGGTGCAACGCGGGGTTCCACCACGGGCTGCAAGGTCCAATGCCGCCGCGGAAGACCCCGATTCTACGCCGGCCAGCACGCGATCGACGATGGGACCGGCGTGACGCAACTGCCGTTCGAGGTCGAAGGCCCGATCCAGATCGTCGCGCGACAGCACCGCCGTCACCTCCGGGTCCTGCGCCAGGAGGGTCTTGAAGTCGAGCCGCTCGTCGTGCGACCGCATCGCCGCCCGCTGCACCCAGGCGTAGGCCTGCTCGCGGGACACGCCGCGCTGCGCGAGCTCCAGCAGCACGGTGCCCGAGAAGACGACGCCGCGCGACCTCTCCAGATTCTCGCGCATCCGCTCGGGATGCACCACCAGCCCCCGCACGATCCGGGCGAACCGCCGCAACATGTGGTCGAGCACGATGAAGCTGTCGGGAATGATGATCCGCTCCACCGAGGAATGCGAGATGTCGCGCTCGTGCCACAACGCCACGTTCTCGATCGCGGCCATCGCGTTGGCGCGCAGGACCCGCGCCAGGCCCGTCAACTGCTCGCATCCGATCGGGTTGCGCTTGTGGGGCATGGCCGACGACCCCTTCTGCCCCTTGGCGAACCCTTCCTCGACCTCGCCGATCTCCGTCTTCTGCAGGCCGCGCACCTCGAGGGCGAACTTCTCGATCGAGGCGCCGGCAATCGCGAGGGCGCCCAGCAGCTCGGCGTGACGGTCGCGCTGCACGACCTGCGACGCCACCGGGGCCGGGGTCAATCCCAGCGCATCGCACACCCGCCGCTCGATCTCGGGGTCGAGATGGGCGTAGGTGCCGACCGCCCCGGAGATCTTCCCGACGTTCACGACCTCCCGGGCTCGCTCCAGCCGCGTCCGGGCCCGCCGGAGCTCCGCGTGCCACAGGGCGAGCTTCAACCCGAAGGTCATCGGCTCGGCGTGCACGCCGTGCGTCCGTCCGATCATCGGGGTGTCCCGATGCTCGCGGGCCCGCTCGGCCACCGCCTCGATCGCCCCGTCGAGGTCGGCCAGTATCACCCCGCACGCCTCCCCCATCTGCAGCGCCAGCGCCGTATCGAGCACGTCGGACGACGTGAGCCCGAAATGCAGCCAGCGAGCCGACGGACCGACCTGCTCGGCCACCGCGGTCGTGAACGCGATGACGTCGTGCTGCGTGGTCTGCTCGATCTCGTCGATACGTTCGGCCCGCACGCCGGCGCACGCCGCGATATCCCTCGCCGCCGGCTCGGGAATGAGCCCGGTGGCGGCCATCGCTTCGGCCGCCGCGACCTCGACCCGCAGCCAGGTCTCGTACTTGCGCTGGTCGCGCCAGATGCGCCCCATCTCGGGATGGGTATAGCGTGGAATCATGACGTTGTGGACACCTGAAGCGGCAGGGCGATCTGGCGCCCCGGGGAGAGGTCGGAACCGAAGCGCGCCGGCCGGACATCGAGACGCACCGTCTCGGTCACGCGATCCTGGTGGGACACGACGACCCGGACATCGGACCGGCCGGACGCCTCCAGGGCATCCCGGCAGGTCAGCGCGGCGAGCTCCGGCAAATTGTTGACCCGGCTGAGGTGCGCCAGCACCAGGCATTCGACGGAGGCCCCGAGATCCTCGCGGATGAACCGGGCCAGCGCCTCGTTCGACAAATGCCCGCGTTCTCCGGCGATGCGCGCCTTGGTGGACGCCGCGTACGGGCCGACTTGCAACAGGTCGGTTGCATGATTCGACTCCATCACGA